ATCTTTGAAAGATGATGCCATTGGACATCTTTTCAAGTTTCATAAGTGTTTAGAACAGTTAAAGGATAGCATTTCCACAATTGAAAGTGAAAGGCATTCCTTTTTCTTTCTCAAAGTAACCCATTGACATTGCCTTTCACTAAGCCATTTCTAGTGATCGATCCTCTATGTCTCCTCTTCTTTAATATCACTTTACTTAATGATCCCTATGCATATATCTAGTGCAACATATATACAAGACCTTGACACAAAGGTTACCTAGAACCAATAAAAAACAGGATAGCATGTTAGAAGTCTCAATGAGGATCAGAACACGCTCCCTTATCCTTTTCAAAGCAGCCATCATCATTTATTCTCTAAGCCATTTTAAACCAAGGCATAATGTCAGCCTCCAAGGATCATCATCAAAAAATTGTTCATATTCAATTGAGATTGAAACAACTTGTGCACAATCTGCTGAAACTAAAGATCACATCGGTGTTAGGCTTAGTGATTCTGCAGGGAACTTAATCATAGCGAAGCATCTAAAGAACCCCAAGTTGTTATATGCTCCAAAGGGTTCTAAAAACAAGTGGTGCGCATGGAGGATTCGAAAAGATGCATGTGCCATAGACTTTCTCAGACCTCCAAGGCCAGTCCATATTACTTTTATTTTTAATAATGAAATAGGATCAAATTGAAAAATTAAAATCACGGGTAGCTGAGTGCCAAGTGAGTCTGAAAATTGATCAAAACTAAATTAGACTAGCAGAACACTCCATTGAACTGAATTTTTTAAGAATCTTCCAGCATTTCTTAGTAATCAATGAGCTTGTAACATTGTGACTGTATAAAAGTATGGCAGGTGAGTTCTTAGGTTTGATTCTCACCTTTATTAACTTAAATGGCTGCGTGTTGTTTTGTTTTCATTAATTTATAATTTCCTCCTCCCCTTTCTTGTTCTTCACCTTCGTAGGGTGCCACTCATCGTGTAACAATACATGTGGGATTTTGACCACGTCCCTTCAGTTATGCTTAGATATTTAAACAACAGAAGCGATGCTCTTAAAAAAGAACGGCTGCTGCTGTTGCTGAGATTGTCAATTTTTTTTCATGTATACAAAAAGAAATTCCTGGTTAAATTTTCTTAATTCAGCGAGGACATGAGAACAGTTCAAACTTCACAGGAGTAATTGAGAAAAGAATTCCAATAATAAATTTGGAGGGAAAGAAATGCATAACCATGGGCCTGGAAGCCCCTGCAGGCCTAAGAGCAGCTGAGCCCGAGACAGATAACACTCTGACTCTGGTCTCTGGAGGTCTCATTGTTTTTCGGCTCCGCATCACATCACGATCTCCACCAGAAATTGTTGGATTGATTTATAGTAATATTATACTAGTTTTTTTTTTTTTTTTTTTCCGTGTTACCTTTAGGTTGGATAAAATATATAAGATTATTTAAAAAAATATGACATCAAAATTAAATTTTTTAATCAAAAATTTTATATTTAATTATTTCTTATTTGTGATTTTTATCATTTTTCCTTTAGAAAAGGGATTTATCCTTATTAATCCATGGATTATTAACTAAAAAATAAATAAATAATTTTTTTAAAAAAAATTTAGTATTTCATAAGATTGTATCGAAAAACATAAATAACAACCATTAAAAGCTTACATAGAATTGAATAAATATTTTTTTATTTAATATTGATGAGAATATGGATTTTTGAAAAAATGTGAATTTAATTTTTATATATTTATTTACAAAAAAATGAATAATATTAAAATAAAAAACTATATTAATTTGAATCATTGAATGGTTAAGCCAAAACATTATTTTAATTATTTAATTCAAAAAAATAAAAATAGATAGTAAATTCTTAGTATAGAAAAATAATATTATTATAATATGATCATAATATTAATAACATATGACTATATTAAAAATAAATAAATAAAAATAGTAAATTTTAAATAATAAAAATAATTAAAAGAAAAAAACTAAAACAAAATAGGGCAAAATCACAATACAATTAAAGTTTGAAATTTTAATAACAATTATTAAAAGCTTACATAGAATTGAATAATTTTTTATTTATTTAATGTTGATGAGAATATCAATTTTTTAAAAAATGTGAATTTAATTTTTATATATTTATTTATAAAAGAATGAATAATATTAAAATAAAAAAAATATTAGTTTGAATCATTAAGCCATTATGCCAAAACATTATTTTAATTATTTAATTTAAAAATAAATAAATAAATAGTAAATGATTAGTGTAGAAAAATAATATTATTATAATATAAGCATGATATTAATAACATATTATGATATTAAAAATGATAAATTAAAATAGTAAATTTTAAATAATAAAAATGATTTCATGGATACTAGATCTATAGCTTGTTGATTCAAATCATGATTGATCCTCAAGGTTCCATTTTGTCCATGCGCTTTAAGAAGAAGTATTTGGTATCTCAATCTTACTCAAGCCTTTCTCCTTTTCCTTTTCTTTTTCTATCTCATGTTTTTAGATCATACAATAAGAAATCATTGTTTCTCTCTCCTGTTCTTCAAATTGTGGCATATTCACTAACCATTTCATACACTACAAAATATAAAAATCTATGATGAACTATATGCTGCCAAATGTAATCAGTGATAGTTAACTCTATTTTCGATGGTCTGTAAAAGTGTTAATAAGAATGTTTCCTCATTCTGTTTTAGGTACTTTTAAATCTTTCTCCTCCCCCTCGATTGCCTCTTACCGTTTTTTATTAAAAATTTGACAGGGAATTTAATTATAATGAAGCATCTAAAGAATCCCATGGCCTAAGTTGCTCTAAAGCAAGGTGTTGCCTATGGAGGTTTTTAATGATATGGTGCATACATGTTTGAAGCAAGTCCGTGCTCATTGTACCTTGAGAAAGTTGAGCCTGATGATTAGAGATCTGGTTGGGTCGAGGTTCTTCATCGGGAAAGTAGTGGGGATTAGGTGCCAGATTCTAATATTAACTTTTTAAGAACATTTGTGACTGATAGTGTGGGGTTTGGGATGATTTCAGTCACTCTAAAGAAGGCTTTATGCCTCACTTTGCAAGCTTTGAGGGAGACTATCTGCCAGTCCCTATTGTAATGTGGCATAGAAATATGGTTGATTATTTTTGTCTAGATGAATTAAGACATTAATGCAAACTCATTACCCGATGATGAATTAAATATTTAACATTTTTTACTTATTTTTTATTAAAAAAAAATTATGGTGATAATTAATAAGAATCTTTTTCTTAACCACACACGTCCTTAATATCGTTTTGATTCATAAATCTAAATCAATTACATATTTTTATTATTTTACTAACAAGAAATTTTACTTCCACGAATCATGAGTTGCTCGGTGGCTGAGCGATACAAGGATAACATGCACAGATCAAGAATTCGGAATGAAAATAGGTGAAGAACACTCCATGTAGCTCATTTTCTATAGAATCTCAAAGCATTTGCTTAGCCTATGTTAATTTACATAATGTCCGAATCTATCTTCCAGCAGCGGGCCAATGTGGAATCTCAAACCTTTTCACCGTTTTCTATGTTTATGGTAGCGTCAACCTCGGTCTGTAAGACCTCTTCTAGGTGGTTCCAGAGTTTCTCATCAAAGTTTAAATTCTAATGCTATCCAACTAATGGCAAGGACATCAGCAATTACCCAACATCGGCTTCTAACTGATCCCACTACAAGCAACAGCAACAAATAAACAAAGGTACAGGTTTGGGATCTGTCGTTAATTAATATGTGCTACCATCGTTTGACCTTTGGGTTGGATTTGAGGCCCCAATGTATTTGCCAGCAATTTTTAGTAAGGGAAACGAGAAAAAATAATTAGTTTAAAATGAGATCAAAACAACTTGAAACTTCACACCAAAAGTCAAGACTAGGCTAAATGATTGGAAAACACTATGAACTTTCGGTCAAGCTAATATAATCTCATAATCCTTTAAAAAATTAATTTTATAACTCTTTTATCTTTTTCTTTTTAAATATTTTTTTTCCCTTTGACCATATGTGATAGGATAAAAACATAACTCGGACCCATGATACGGATTCGGATTCGGGCTGTAGAGGACATATTGAGTAGACAGAGGGCTCAGTTCTTGCATGCTAAGGCTGCTTCCTGGTCTCTCCTTTAGGGTTTTCATGACTTTCTTTTCTATTTATTATTTTTTTGTGAGATTTGCTGAAGATGAAAAAAGTTTTTGGGTTTTTTTTTATTATTATTTTCTGTTAGTGAGATTTATTGCCTTGCGATGATGAAGATGGAAAAAATGCGATAACGGAGAAGAAAAAAGTTTTGAGATTTCTTGATTTGCTTCTTTTGAGTTTTAGGTTTCTATTTTTGTATATTTTTATGATTTATTTTTATATATTTTTATGATTTATTTTTATATATTTTTTTTAAATCACGCACGTGTCGCGTTTTTAAACTATGACTGGTGATCAAAATTGGCAACAAAGCCTATCTTGATTTTTCAAATGTTCTAGATCTATATTAGTTTGACAAAAAAATCAGGGTGTTTTTTTTTCATTTAGTCACTAGATTATGTCAAATATACGGTACATTAACAAAGATTTAGAAACAAATTGATAAGAGAGAAAATCCACGATGGGATCGACAATGGGAACAGAATCCATTCCTCCTGACTGCTAACATTACACAATGAACAAGCTGAGCCAACACACACACATAAAGAGGGAATCAAAATTGCAAAGATCTATTCATAGCTATAGGAGAAGGGAACAAGGAAACCAACTACATACAATTATACAAAGAATCATGTTCTGCAGACTTTTCGAAGTTTCAACATCTTTACCCAGCAAAGCCTCCATTAAGGAAATGGGGGAAAGGAAAAAAAAGGTATAATAAAGGTAACGAAACCCCAAGAACACAATTTCAAACTATGAGTTGTGTCTGCACAAAAAAAAAACAGAGAGAGAGAAAATCTTGCTCCCTGCCAATCATTCTAGCAAGAATTCTCGAGTGCAACTAGGACTGCCAAGGAGATCAAAAGGCCGGCTACCTAGGGTGTCTTTCAAGATTGTGATCTGACCTTCTCTGAGAAGAATGTCTTCATCTAGGGTCTCTATCTTCTTCTTCAATGCATTAATCTCTGCATTCATTAGCATATTCTTCTCCTTGTACTGCTTCACTTCCTCCCACATCATATCTCTCTCCTGTGAAACTTTGGCCAATATCCCCCTAGTTGTTGATATTTCCTTAGCAGATGCTTGGAGGTCACTTTGAAGCCGACCCACATTCTCGTCCTTCTTCAGTATCTGTTGAAAAGACAAAAATATTAGTTACATTATAGGACTCCAAAAAGGCGAGACAAAATAATAAGAAAGCTGTAGTTAACAACAAGGTCTAAATTATTTAATCACTAAGGAAAAAAACGAAGCTATTCAAATTTTCCTAGCAATAGTTACCAACTAATGTCAAGGTACAAAGACAACAAGAGATGTCATACTGCAAATCAGATACAACACTTCATTATACTTCTTTGCTGATTTCTCCAAAATTAAGGTATAAGTGAAGAAAAACAAAATTGTCACCAATTAAACGAAACCATATTTATCACCAATCTCACTAAGTGTCGTGCCAAAAGTTCGTGTAGTCGGCTTTTGGTATCCCAAAAAATATATATTTATAAACAAAAATCATTAAATGGTTTTTGTCGCAATTTGTTATCATGCAATATGACAAAAAATGCAAAACTGATAACAGTATGAACCAAAGAAGACAAGGGAGGAAACAAGTCCCAGATGTCCATCATAATAAAGTCTTCCATGAACAATATCATTGAATCATGCCATAGCAAAGAAACTAAACTGAAAACAAAACCATAAAAAGCAGCATTTAGAATGACAAGGTATACATTGTTTTAAAATGAAAGGATAATGATTGACAGCAAAACCAGTTTTAAGGATGGCAATCAAAAACAATTATGACAAAATGAGGGCAGAAAATGACCTCATGCCAGTTTCACCGTTCATCATGAAATGAAGGAAATTGCTTTAAGAACTTTCAATCATCACAGGCTACACAACGCCAGCACATCACTTCACCTCCACAAGAGAGATTTCATGTTGCATTAGCCCAACTTACCAAAATCGCAGTTTCAGTAATCATGCCTAGAAAAGAGCTTAGGGAACACTATGAGCTGATCAAGTGAACCCAGAACTCAACCCTTCAATTTGACACATCATCTTACAATTAAGTGCATTTCTACATGCATTTAGCACAAGCAACGTTGGCAAAGCACCCCGTGTAAATATATAAAGTGATATGTAACTTCAGATTTTTGCAGCAGAGTTGGTATCTAGGAATACCTGAAGTTCAAGATTTTTCAGCTGATGAGTGACACAAGCAAGGTTATCCAGCGCATTCTCGACTTCACATTGGAGGATGTCATTACCTCTCACTGCTGCTGCTATTTCAGCTTGCAACTGCTCGACCTCCAACTCTTTAGAGTACAGCTTCTCTCTTAACAGACTTGTAAGCAAAGTTTCAGCTTTAAGCTCAAATCTCAAAGATTCCTGTGAAGGTGAAATCATTTAATTGCAGTTAAGGTTGAAAGCAAGTTTTACCAATAGTTAGCTATTCAATACCCAAATTAAAGATCAACTTAATTTAACAAACTGAATAATTGTCACTAAAAAGCAAATTTGAATCAAATGAAAATATTTGCGCTATGACCGTCATCCACAGAAATCAAATGACAAGCATGTTACAAGAACAGATTTAAACCGCAGCCTACCTCTGGAGTCTGATGATTTAGTTTCCCAGAGCCATCGACATTACTCCTTGGAGACTGAGATTTTGAAGCACCAGGATTGGACTTCTCTTGAAGTAAAGAAGATATTGTCTGCAAACTCCTTGTTAGGCTTTCAGTTCCACGCTTAAAGCCCTGAACTTTCATATCAGATTCAACAATAAACTGCCCATCTAAGCCATTCCCCAAAACTTCCATACCCTGCTTAGTTTCTTGAAAGTGGACCGCTTTCCCTTTGATGTATTCTAATAACTTCGAAGAAAGCTGGGTGCTCTCATTTAGCATAGACAATCCTTGATTTTGCAGGCAGCAAATACGTGTCCACATTTCCTTATCTAGCTTGAAAGTTAAAGCACTAATCTCTTCACTATTACTCTTTAAGCGCTTCAATAAGTTTATATTCTCATGTCGAAGGGAATCAATCTCAAGCCTACAAGATTCCACCTCCCTTCTGAGAGACAGTTCTACTCCTGTCAACCTCATTTGCTCCATTTGCAATTGTGTCACATGCTTATCACACCTGTCCAATGCTGACTTCTTCTCAATTTCCTCACTAAATTTTTCCCGCAACCCCCCAATTGTCTTCTCTTGATCACTGCAGGTTCTTAATAATCTTGTAATGGATTTTTGAAAATCCTTGCACTCCTTGTTCTTCTCTTCAAAATTCCTTTTAATACAATCTAGATCTTCTTCTGCCACTGCATACTTCTTTTGCAATTCAGAAAGATTGTGTTTCAGATCTTGATTCTCATCACTCGCCTCCTCCACCTTTGAAGTCAGGTGCCTGAGTTGTTGCTCAGAATACATTATCAAACTTTTTTTTCTGCTTCCCGCTCACTAAAAGATGATACTTCCCTCTGGAGTGAAACATTATGCTCTGCAAGCTCCCTAACCCGCTCACGAAGCCTTTGCTCTTCCAACTGGTATTTCTCAAGCTTTGATGACCAGTCACTCGACCTTCTGTCTAATTCTTTCTCCAACGCTGTCTGCAATTCATTCTTCTCCTTTTCTAATCTTCGGTTCCTTGCCTCCCATTCGGCCTTTGCTAATCGAAAACCTTCCTTGGCAGAATTCCTGTCAGCAATTCGAGATTTCAAAAGACCTGAAACCTCAATTGCCAAGCTTATCTTATCCTCTGTTAAGCTTTGGATAGTCTGCACAGATGGTGGAGCATCAAATCCACTATCTTGAAGAAAGCTTTCCTGCTCAAGCTCTTCAGAAAGAAGAACAATTCTCTCCTCAGCTTCCTTAGATCTTTGTTGTAATTCCACATCTACCGTGTCCTCACTGCTAACAGAGTTCGTGTCCCCAAAATCGTCTCCAAGGAAGTAATTCTGTTTCTGAAAGCCTGAGAAATCATCACCATAGCAACCATTAATGGTTTCACAAGGTTCCTCTAATGAGTAACTTTTCCGGGCAGGAACATCCATATATGAGTTCCCTGATCCACCATATACATCTTCAATTGTGATTGGAATATCATGGTCGAACTCCTTTGAACTTGATTTAGGATAAGCACGAGCCTGGGAGAGCCTCTCGATGACATTCTTTGCAAGTTTCCGTGGAGATTCATGGCCAAATCCCTTATCCACCCAATCTCCTGAAGAAAACTTCTGTCGAGTCCCTCTATATTCCCGAAACGAGTGAGACCTGGGCTTATCTTTGATGTTATCAGTTGGTGAAGTAGGGGCTGTGTATTGGACTCGTGGAGGAAGTCTTCCACCAGCATTTCCACTTCTGGTAAAATTTCTCTGTGAACTGTTCTTGGGCTTGCTCATTTCCTGCTGCTGTTCTCCATCAATGTAGCGATCCACAACTTTACTTGAGACATTACTGGAAGAAGAATTGCCAGACAAATCATGATGAGATTTAGAATGACCAGATCTCTCAAGTCCGGTAGCTGCCATTTCAAATCGCTTTGTTTTGGCTCGCCTCTCAGGAGTAAGATTGCGCCTACTGTCATAAATCAGAAAACATTTGAATTACTCTCATGAAGCAATTTAAATAAAAGTGCGCAGAAGTTCTTTGCAAACCAACTTGTATTCAAGATCATTAAATGATACTGGTGATGCACCCTTATAGTTTGATATTAATGAGATCGAAAGACTCACCGAGATGAGTGATCATGTTGCTGATGAGCACTACTGGAACTGCTAGAAGGAGATCTAGTTTGATCATTTATGCAAGAAGAATTCCTCTGCACCATCCCATCATCAAGAAAGGCTGCTGATGACAACGAGCGGCTCCTTCTAAGACCCAAACTGTTGCTGCTGCTCTGCCTATCATATGCTTGCTTTCCAGATTTTGAAAATAGTCTCTTGGGGCTCCAAAAATTACACTGAGCATTTTCATCATCTTGATTGTTTGGCTTACCTTCGAATGGTGCCTCCCAATAAACTTGCTTATCTGCTGACGGTGGAGAACTAGTATTGTTGTTTCCATCTTTGGAGGAAGAAGATCTGAAAAAGAATAGTTTCTTCATCTGGCTATCTCAAACTAGAACTGCTATTTGTAGCTCATGAAAAATGGTAGTTCAAATCCTGTGCTATATCAGTCCTTAGACAGAAGGGATCTCACTGAACCTGAAATTGCATTACATAAGAAATTAGAAGCGAAACCTGGACTTAAATTTTACAAAGAAAGATTTGAAAGGAGCACAGCAACTCATACCCAAATAGTGATAATTGAGATTACTCAGAGTGGGGATGAGTGAAAAGCAAATGAAAGGACAATGGTCATTAGTCCATAAACAACTACATAGTATCTACACCTCGTAATACACAAAATTAGCTAGGAGTCCAGTCCGCTAGCCACACACAAGCCACTACATCAAGATTAAGATATCTAACAAAGAAATAAGAAAGCATGCAACAAGGATGTGATAATTATAAATTCGTACCGGGAAACCCCAAAAGCAAAAAATAAACAGGTTTGGTACTTAAAACCATCATGTTAACAAACATAAAACCCCATTAACAATTTGAGAAACCTGAGATATATATGGCCTAAAAAACATGGCAGTGCTATACCAAAAATACATAACTGAAACTAATTTCGAAACCCCAGATCCAAAAGGAGGTCGAATCAATTGCTAGAATAAATACTAGAATTAAAACAATTAGTTTAGAGCATTTCTTTACCCTTCATTCAAAATCAAAAGGGCAAATATGAACAAAGGGGAAAAAAACAGAGTACCTAGAGAATTCATGAACAAATAACATTCTCGTATAATTATCTATCAAGAACCAATGGATTTCACATGGCAACACAATATAGACACACGCACGCACACGAGCAGAAAATAAACGAATAAATAAAAAGCAAAAGAAACATGTCAGTTATTTAACGTAGACGAGCAATAAAGAAGTAAGCAGACATGAAATTCAGCAATATAAATTTGCATTAATTAATAAAATAAAAAACAGAGAACAGAAAACAAAACAATCATGAAATGCATGTGTCAGGTCTTTCGATCCGATCCTTAACTCCCTACGCTATACCTTTAAAAATACCAAACTACCCTTACCAATTTCATTTCACAAAAACCCTAAAAACCTCTTATCTCCCATCAACCACCACCGTTTAAAAAATTACACAAATCTGACACGAACAGAATCTTATATTATAAAACTTTAATAATCAAACAACATCGTTATTAACGAAAAAGAAGAGTCAATTACAATTCCAGAAAAAGTAAAATAGAAAAGGAGATGACACTGTTTGGAGGCTGAGAAACTGATGGAAAAGAAAAGAAAATTGGTTAAATCACATATTTAAAGAAACAAACACTTTTTGGTTGCTAAGAAGCTAATGGAAAAAGAAAAAATGAAATTGAAAAATAACACAGTTGCCAGTAATTGAAAAATTCAAAAAACAACCCATCCACCTGGACAAATTTCTTGCTCTATCCTTTCCATTTCCTTTATTTTCTCAGGAACCAAACAGAATCAAGAAACAAAGAAAGGAAATTTAAAAAGAAAAGAAAAGCAAAGGAAAGAAAGAAAAAGAAAGCCTCACTTACAAAAAAGTTCGCCATTCTCACTTTCCACTCTTGCACTACTAACGGTCAAAAATACCTAATGACTCTTCGGACCATTAAAAAGAAACCAAAACCAGAAGCCAATTAAATGACTGAATTCTATTTTTTGAAATTGTGATCTAAGAATTAATTAACTTACCATTAAAGCAGATACTACAGTGATTAATGAGTGATTAATCAAGTTCCTCAGTCTAATTTCGAAATTCAAAAAAAAAACAGTAATTAAAAAAAGTCCAACTACGAAACCGAAATTAAAGGGAGCTTTATAAACGGAATCTTACAGGGCCACCTGTGTGTAACGGCGTCAAAGGCCGGCTTGGGAAGGGCAAATTAACTGACAGTGACCGAGAAATGTGATTTTTTGAGTATCAAAATCAAAATGGAAATAGTGGACTAGAGGGAAAAAGAGGTTGCTGTTTGGGGCCAGTGAAATAGTGAAGTGATTTTGATTATGCGAGGAAATAATGAGAAAAAGAAAGAAAGAGAGGGACTACCAAGAAAGAGAAGTGAGAGTGCCAGACAGAAATTAAGGGAAATATTGAAGGGTAATCTGGTGAGTAAATAAAGAAATTTAAAATATTTAGTTGCCGCGGATAAATCGGAGGAGGAGCGGGGAGATTGGGGATTATGGAATTTGGATCCAGTGGAGCCTTATTCAAGGTGGTTAAAGTGGACCCCTTGTATGGAATTGATGTAGGAAAAGTACGGCATATATCTCTTTTTAATCATCTACTATTCTCAAACAAGTTTTTTTTTTTTTTTTAATGTTCACTTATTAAGTTTCTTTTTAAATAGAGTATTTATACCCAAACTATTATATTCACCAAATTTTTTTCAGCAGTAATGTAGAAAACAAAAACATTTGTTATTAGCTAAACTATTTTGTATTGTTGAGAAAACGGCTTTATTGGTTTCATATTTTAGTTTGAATTTGAGTATTAAAAAAACTGCTGGCAAAAAAAAAAAAAAAACTTATAGTATGGAAACTGATTCTTGCCGAGGAGAAGATAATACAAAGTGCATTGAAAAAGAAAAGTTTAAGAAGCTTGGATCATGGGTTTGTGCGTCTTCTTTATGATACATCATGATACACATCATTAGTCTTTTTAATCCATACAGCTTTTTAAGCATTGCAGGTATAATCATCTTCCTTCTCCATGTTGAGGTGTCTATAACAATGATGATTAAGTTGAAAATTGAGTGGAACCAACATGAAATAGCATAGCGACCTTAAAAATGCGTTAATCCTTTTCTCTTTTTTTCTTTTTCTTTTTTTTTTTTAATTTTGTTTTTCCTTCTGCGTTTGTGCAATCCAATTGCTGCTATTCAATTAAGTTGAGAAAATTCCTCCAATTGGGCTTTGCGGCAGGGACAAGTGGATGATTATTGCTCCACGAGATAGTATCGAAGTGGCCCTGTGGTTGCTCTACATTTTGACCTCATGAAAATAAGAGTTGCAGAATTTCTTTTCTAACCAAAAGGCATAATGTGGCAGCTTCACAATGCATTTTGTCCATGCAAAAAGCGTTTCACAGTATGCAACTCCAACCAGAAGGGTTGCACACAAGGCATGTTGCTCTATGGGATCTTGCAGTTGCTGCCTTGTTGGAACCTTTTTCTTCACGTGTCTCGTTGTAATGTGGACCCTCCAACCTCGTACCTATCCGTTAATCACAATATTATTTTTAAAAAATAGTTAATTACAATTATTATTTTTTTGGTAGTTTAATTAATTGGGTTTTTTTTTTCGGTTTATTGAAAGGCTTCTAGCGAAGCTCAATGAAAGGTGTCCCGGGCAAGTGGAAAAAAAAAGAGCTATTAGATACACATTCCTTACATAAAATCTGTATATAGTTTGTTGGTTTAGACTCTGAAAAATATTCTTCTATTTTTCTCATACGTCGTGTTTGTGATATCAAATCCAACGTTCCATCCAGATATTTAAATGTCGAGAAACTAGACGATGGGTCATCAATTCCACCACCATCCAGTCACTTGTTGAAACGGATATTGCAATAACTTCAATTTGAAATATAAACAAACGTTCGCTGTTTCGCTCAATCCCATGAATAAAGACAATAACTGCAACAAGTGAATTAAAAATATCTCGACGTGAGCGTAAATTTGCAATAAATTGAACAATGTCGAGGACAGATCGTGTTCTTGCGCAGCCAAGCAGGATTACGGGTAAAAAGCAGTACATGTTGAGACTAAATTTATATTTTTTGTGTGCCTCCTAATTCTCTTATTTTCAAGTGCAAGCAAAATTCAATTCTGCATCTATTGACAACAATGAGTAATTTAGTAAAAAAAAAAAACCTCTATGCATGGAAAACAATTTTGTTTCTTTATTATTATCAATAATCATAATCCACGATGGATTATAATATATAACTTAAAGAACTGTTTTCAAAAGAAAGATATTATTATTATTATTGTTTGATGTTCTTGATTGTTCAACTTTTGAAGAAACCACAATCACGTTGTATACATACGGTTTATTTAATTAATTGTTGAAAACAACATTTTATATGGAGTTTTGCTCATATATGTTTTTTTTTTTGAATTGTTTTTATTAAAACTCTATGTTCTTTTCCATGTTATTGAAATTCTCCATTCTTTATTTTTTTTAGTTATTCTTGTTAAGGCCATGTACTCTTTTTCTTATTGATTAAGGTCTTCTATTATTATTATTTTTTCATCATTTTGTTATAATGTTGTATTACTACTCTTGAATGTGTGACATGTGTTGTATATAATATTTCAATTAAAAAAAAATTCTATCAAAATAATTCAAAAAAAAAATTTGAGACTTCAATGAAAATATTAAAAAGTGAAGGGTCAAATTATTATTATTATTATTAATTTTCATGTTATTATCTTTTTAATATCTCTTCTTGAATGTTGCCACACGTGTCTTATGTGAAACCTTATCACAATAAAACTCTAAGTATTTTTTAAAAAAATATCTATATTATAATAATTTAAAAGTAATAAAATACATACAAAACGAACCTAATATACAATTAAAAAAATAGAGTACAAATATATCTATCAAAACTAAAATAAAAAAAAAAGTAATACTTATTGATGGCTAATTATCTATATATAAAAAATATGGTGCGATCCGAGTTTTTTAACCCTTTTTTTTTTTTACTTTAAATTAGTTAAATATTTAGGATTTTTAACTTTTTATAGAGAACTAAATCTATTAAATGGTGTTTGAGATCAATCAGTATTGCACATCACCATATTTTTTTGGACTAAAAACACGTCGTGTCTCCGTATTATATCAAAATTATTTTTGTAATCCCTCCACCCAAACATAGTTCATACAAACCTTATACTATTTAATATTGGTGCAAAACAACCCCTCGTTAACTTTTTTTTTTATCAAATTGATCAATTTTCATTAAATGACTAATGTTTGATTAATCAAATAGTGACATGTGTCAACTTCAAAGTAAAAATAAAATTTTCTTTTAAAATCATAATTTTTTATTTTTTTAAATAAAATAATTAATATTTTTTGTAAAATTGTAAAAATTTTGGAAAAATTATTTCTATTTTTTTAATAAAAAAAATCACTTTTTAAAGATTTTATAATAATTGTTATTAAATAAAATTTTAAAAAATACATGTAAAGATATTTTTTTTTCAATTTTTAGTTATTTTATAATAATTAGTAATAAATATATTTTTTTCAATTTTTGTTATTTAAAATAATAATTATTAATAAAGAAAAAATTAAAAAATAAAGAAATTCCTAATGATTTTATAATGATTATTAATTATTTTAATCAAAATTTATTATTAATTTTTTCTTTTAAAAAAAATTTCTTTAGATTTTTAAACTGATTTTATAATGATTATTAGTTATTTTAATAAAAAAATTTTGATTATTAATTTTTTCAATTTTTGGAAAAAACTTTTCTTTTGGATTTTTTTTTAATTTTTAATTATTAGTGATTATTATAAAATAAAAAAAATTCTTAAATTTTTAAATTTTTTTTATTAATAATCATTAAAATTTGAAAAATATTTCTTTAGGTTTTTTTTTTTAAATATTCAAATAAAACACTCTCTCTAGGAAACGCAGGCTTGCCATAAAAGCTTGGTTTAAAGGGCTACCGTCGGTGAGCTCTTGTCCGGCGGTAGCCCTCGTTTTCTTCTTGTTTTTTTATTTCTCATTCAATGATCCTAGATCTTTTAGATCTATTCCTAGATCTATAGCTCTTTTGGTTTTATGGTTGCCTTGATAGGTTTTCCCCGTTGTGGTCACCGTCCGCTTTCTCCGTAGTCATCACCACTAATGCTTTTGTCGCTCCACCTTCGTTGCCCTTCCACAATCGCATATGTCGCAGCTGCTCCAAACATCTTTGACCTCTACCTCCTCCAACAAATTGCTCGGCTTCGTGGGGTTGGGTTTTGAACTCGCTTGGTTCTTTTATTTTTTTTGCCTTTTAATTTAGGTTGTTATGTGTTTGATTATGTTGTATTATCTCTCGTTTGTCGAGAGTATTGTGTTGTATTGTCTCTCATTTGTCAAGAGTTTTGATTGTCTTTTGCTTGTCGAAGTTTATTGTTTTGTCATGGTTCGTTTCGTTTGCTTGGTTTTGTCTCGTATTGTTGAGTTTTAACGGTTTGTTAGGAGCGTTGTTGGTCACACGACTCCATCAATACAATTGCAGTCTCTCGTCTCCTCTACAACCTATAGGTCAAAGGTTAATCAATGTTCAATGAAACATTTGGGACATGTGAATCAAATTGCTCTAACTAGGGTAGTTGATTCTATATCGGATATTGGTCGATGTAATTTGTATGTCGGAATGTATTCGGCTATTGCATTTTAATGAAATTTCCTATGGTTTCAAAAAATAAATTCAAATAATAATTATTATAAATTCATTAGAATAAATAAAAAATTTGATTATTTAAAAAAAATATTTATAATTTTTTCAATTTTTAATGATTTTATAACAATAATTAATTATTTTAACTTTTAAAAAAGACAAAAATTGATTTTAAATAAAAATTATATTTTTACCTTTAAGTTAACACGTGTCACCACTTGATTGGCAAACGTTACTCAACAAACAAATACTAGTCAATCCGACAAATAATAATAATAATGACAATAATAATAATATAGATGGGTTATTTTGCATCAACGTCTAACAAGTATGAGATTTGTTATAAACTATATCCGCATATAGTGGTTATAACAATATTTTTCGTACGAGTAAAGGAGCATGAAATGTATTTGATCCTAATTTTTTTATTAATAATTGCAAGTCGGGTTTTTTTTAATGTTTTTTTTGCTATTTTTAACTTATTATAATTATATATAAAAAAAAACATTTCAAAATTTTACTATGGTTGGGTCTCATATATGACACATTTGGTGTATTTGGAATGAGGTTTAAAAAAAATAACATAAAAATTTTAAAAGAAAAAACAATATTTAGTTTATGTGTTTTTTGAATTGTTTTGACTAAAGCTTCATACTTTTAAATTGTTTTAATTTAGTTTTTCTATTGAAATGTACATCATACATGCTGTGAATTTAAAAATAAACATGTTACATCAGCTCACGGTGAATGATATTATAGCATAGGGATAAAGATGAAACAAAATAAAGAATAAATGAATTCAATCACTATGAAAAAAGAATACATAATTTTAAACAAAACAATTCTAAAAATCAAAAGACCATAGGCAAAACCCTTTCATATGTGAAGTGGATGACTAGAGGAGGGGACAACTCCATCGTAAAGAAGAGACCTCGATGTTTTTGAAATGCATTATTCATTTCATTGTTTTTTTGAAAGATTATTCAAAATTTGAGAATTTTCACAAACATATAAATTTCACATCTCATATCTATTCTCATATCTTCATTCCAAACCAAATACTACCTAGATTTTTCTTTAAGTCAAGTCCCGTGTATTTAGGATGGAAATAACTTGTATTTTGATACCTTATTATTGGATCCAAAAGGGATCTCATGAGGCTTTTGTTCTATATTTCTTAACCCTAGTCATTTTACCCATAAAAACACTTTCACAATTTGACAGCCCATAATAATAATAATAATAATAATAATAATAATAACAATAATAGTGAGTGAAAAAGTGAATTATAAATTAGTCCCTCTAATTTCAAGAAACAAATTAATTAATTAATTCATTTAATTTTAAAAATTTTTATTTAATTATTTAATCAGTGTTAATCATACTTAATTTAATATTATCTTTATTTTATAAATCTCTTATTTTTTCATCAATCTTTTAATTTTTTTTATTTAAAAAAAATCAAAATAAATTAAAAATCAACAAAAACAACTAAATTATAAGAAGATTTCAAAATATAAGTATTAAATAATTAATTTTTAAAATAAAAATAATTAATTAATTCGTTTCTCAAAACGAGAGGGACTCATTTATAATTTACTCCGAAGTGAACATGCGGTTTTTTGTGTTCTCCACGTCTGCAAACATGGCATATTTTTGGGCCGGGTTTATTTTCTGCTTAGCCTAATGATTGGGATTTGCTTGTATTCTAAACAGAGTACAAGTGGATGGGCCCCCAAATTTTTTAAAGTTAAAAACCATCGTAATCTATCGAACAGAACCAAAACCTGAATTCCGCTCCCCTGGGCTGGCCCAGAGTATCCCACGGCCAGCAGCTGAAAAAAAAAAAAAGAAAGGACGAAAACGCATGTCGTTCTTCCAAAACCAATAATTGCACTTTGCTTGCCTTGTCACTCTCTTCATTCTCCAAATTCATCCGCCTCGCCATAAAAAAAAGAAAAAAAAAAATCATCCACCCCTACACTCTCAATTCCCAACGAATCCTTGATTTCTTTCCAAGATGGAAATGGATTCCCTCCCCAACGGCAACTCCACGACCTCAACCACAACAATCTCAGCCACCGCTCCTTCGACGGTGCAGTCGTCAAAACTGACGCAACTAACCGAATCTTTAAAACTTGAACACCAGTTCTTGCGCGTTCCTTTCGAACACTACAAGAAAACGATCCGTACCAACCTTCGCGCTGTCGAAAAGGAAGTCTCTTCCGTTATCTCCGTTGTCAATGACGCCGCTGATTCTGATATTTCCAAAGACGATGCCGTTCAGCATCTCACTTCCCTCGTTTCGAGATTGCAAGGTCTTAAAAGAAAGGTATGCTGATTAAAAGAAAATAAAAGGGACCTAATCGACGTCGTTTTGAGTTAATCGTGGTTATTTTTAGTTAATTTTAATTTAATTTAATAAAATCGTTATTAAGTACTACCAATACTAGAAATTGTTTTTTTTTTTTTTTGTTGTTTGTGTGAATTCAATAGATTTTTTTACTTAATCTTTTTGTAATTCTTTTATTGATAATTTTCTTGTAATTTGATAAACAGAGAAATTGAAATAGTTAAAGTTGACTCTTTAGTGATTGAATTATGAAGTGAAATCTTTAGTCAGATAATATTCTATTGGTGCTTTTGAGCGTTATATTATGATGTGATTGGTGAATTTCTTTTTTTTTTTTTTGGATTTATTTATAGTAGTTTTATCGTGTGTTTTGATTAATTTATTTAGTTGGAAGAGGGAAGTAGAGCGGAGAACTTACAAGCTCAGAGGTGTCGTGCAAGAATTGATCATTTAGAATCAGCTGATGTGGAGAATCTGTCGGATTGGAATAACATGCGGATGAAGAGAATTCTTGTGGACTATATGCTGCGAATGTCGTATTACGATACTGGATTGAAGCTAGCTGAAAGCAGCAACATGCTGGTAATTTTCTATTGCGGGTCTTGTTGCATTTGCTGTTGCGTATCTAGGTTCTTTCTGTGGATTTCTTGGTGTGTGTTGAGTACACTATGTGATTAAAAGGGACTTGGTGGAGTGATATCACCTTTCTGTTGCGTGCTCATAATTTGGCAAATTGAATGTCAGGATCTTGTTGACGTAGATGTATTTTTGGAGGCGAAAAAGGTTATTGATGCTCTTCAAAATAGGGAGGTAGCGCCTGCTTTAGCATGGTGTGCTGATAACAAATCAAGGTTGAAGAAGTCGAAGGTAATTGCTTATCATATTTCAATGCCAACTCTGGGATATATACTACAAGCATTTGCTGTTTTTACTATCTCAATTGCTGGATCTTCTTCTTTTCGGTGTCTGCTTAGCAAGAATTGGATCTATGAACTGAATATCTTAGTGCTTCCATTTATATATTTTGTTTGCTTACTATATTTGTTATTTTCAGCACACATAGAGATAAAATCTAAGAATTAAAATAACTTTAAGATGACTAAGGCAGGGGACATGCAGTGGTCACTACTTTCCGTATTTAGAAATTGTTGCTAACTGAAGCATTTGAAATTAATGTGTCAAATTCTGAGCCTGGAGCGAGTGTTATGGAGTTTTATGTTATCAAAGTCTAAGTGTGTTGATTTGGTGATTGATATTGGAAAAGATATTAAAGAGTCTCAGGTTGAATTCTTGCCTACCACCTTGTGCCTTCTATTCCTTCTCTTCCAAATAATTTTATCGATCAGGGATTTTATGCCAGCAAGCCAAAAGAAACATCGTTCTATAAATGCAGAAAAGTATATTTCTTTTTCTTGGGGATTATTTGTGTCATAATTTATCGTGCCTCAATCTGTTAGACTCACATTAAAATGTACAGACCTGAGCATTGCAGTGAAAGTACCTACAATCTGACTATGGCGGTGCTTCTTCAATTGTATGATGTTACACGTGTAAATCATGTAGTTGTATTTTGCTCAATTTTCGCTATGCCTAGTAGTTTTCTGTGATACAGAGTGTCCTATTTATCAACTTTGTTCTGTCATTACCATGAAGAGCATGGTCTGTGGTGGAGCTCTTATGGAGTATTAAATTGGAATATAAGTGTCCACTTCATGTCAAAGTTTATCGGCAAACGCATATTGATAGTTTTTGCTAAATTGGATAGAAATTGCAATAAAAAAGTGGTGCTGTATTTGTTAATCCCAACTGCTCTTATGGATGGCAGAGCAAGTTTGAATTCCAGTTGAAACTTCAAGAATTCATAGAGTTAGTACGAGCTGAAAACCACATGCGTGCCATTACATATGCTCGGAAGCATCTTGCACCATGGGCAGCTACGCATATGAAAGAAATGCAGCGGGTCTTCGCAACAGTGGCTTTTAAGGGCAATCCCGAATGTGCTGTATATAAGGTAACCTGATTTCAGTGGATAATGCCGATGTTAGCTGCAAATGACTCGATTCTTCATGATTTTAGTGGAAAAAAAAATGTTACATTTTCTCCGTGGAAGCATTAGTTAGTTAGTTTGGTTTGAACAAATTTTGCTGCAGCTCTAAACTTTTCCGTTTTTGAAAAGATTTAAAATGATCAAACCAAGATCTTGTATACAACCAAAACAAGCTGCACCAAAACCAAACTTAAGAAAAGACAACTCAAGACTTTCTGTTCACAAAGTCCAGAAATCCACAAGTATCACTGTAGGGGAATCTAAAGGTACCTAGATTTGAACTCTATTCATTCAAACCCGTCCGTAGTGATAATTTTTGGATTTCAAGTGACTGAACTCAGACAACTCTAGACTTTCTATTCACAAAGTCCAGAAATCCACAAGTATCACAGTACGGAATCTAAAGTTCCCTAGATTTGAACTCTATTCGTTCAAACCCCTCTGTAATGATATTTTTTGGATTTCAAGTGACTGAACTCAGATTGCCCGTTGAAAAAAATCTGTTCAATTTATCTACTCGATTACTTCCTAGTATTCTAGTCTGATGCTGGCCCTTTTTGCTTGTGGTTTTTATATACAATAGCATGAATAATCTTCGGTTTGGATATTTTAATGATTTTGTGATAGCCCCAGAGATACCTGTTAGAGAATTTTACATCTGAATTTCTGCTTTTACACATTATCGTGGGTCCAGATATTTCTCCCCAATGATAGATTTGTCTAACAGATGGAAGAAATGAACTTGCAATTCTTGTTGCTATTGCTCTTTTCTTCTTTAACAGGTTTATGGAGAGACTGAATTGATATCTGGTGTTTTGCTTTCCAGGTTTTGTTTGAACCAAAGCAATGGGACTACTTGGTAGAACAATTTAAACAGGAATTCTGCAGGTTATATGGCATGACTCTAGAGCCATTGCTGAATATATTTCTGCAGGCAGGGTTATCAGCCCTGAAAACTCCGTATCCATTATTAATTTACTATTGCTCGCAACAATTGCTCCGCCCCTGCCTCCTCCCCCACCCCCACCTTCCTTGTCTTGTTTGATACATTCTATTTTATGATGGAAAAGTGCTTCAAAAACTAAAAATGAGGGAAAATGAGGTTTTGAGTTTAATCTGGACTACTTCTCAAGCGTGCAGGATATGATGATCTAACAGTTTTCGTAGCTTTTCTCATGGCATTAGGTCTAGTATCTCTCTCACAGACCACGAGGCAGGAGACTGTAATATGTTATGCAAGTATTATGCAAGTATTTGTTTTTTGCCTTGACCTTTGTAAGATACTGCAGTGAAGAAGATTGCACCAAGGAAGATCCACTTTCACAGGAGAGCTTTAGGAAGTTGGCAATGCCATTGCCGTACTCAAAGCAGCACCATTCAAAGCTTGTTTGTTACATAACTAAAGAACTAATGGACACAGAGAACCCACCCCAAGTCTTGCCCAACGGCTACGTTTACAGCACTAAGGTGTCAAATTGCTCATGTGATATAAAGATACCTCTTAATCACATTACTGCACTCGTATGATTAGTTTGACATCTTTTTTTTCCTTTGCAGGCACTTGAAGAAATGGCCAAGAGAGATAATGGTAAAATAACCTGTCCAAGGACCGGTTTGGTCTGCAATTATAGAGAGTTGGTTAAGGCATATATATCATAAATTTTTATCTTGAAGCAAACCGAGCAATTCAAGAGAAAATATCCTGTGCTGGGCTCCGAAATTGTTGAGTTCCAGCGTCTTCTGTGAATACTAGCAACAGGATGATATTCGTCAAACTTTCAAGGATGGTGTGATGATGTTCATTGAACACTCAAATAACTTGGGCAATTTCTCGTGGACCTTGATCTGATATAGGTGTTGGAGGCATTCCACATGTATATATGCAAAAAGAATCTTCCTTCCTTTTCTGTTTTCAGTTGAATTTGGTGTTGGCCACTTGTTTCTTTGCAATTCTCAATAGACTAAATTTGATAATATCCAGCTGTTTTAAGCTTCGCATTTTCTGTATGTTGCTCTGTTCCTGAACGTAGATAGGAGAGCCAATGAGTTAAAATTTCCCTCTTGAACATTTCTGCAACGTTGGTCGTGCCCTTATAAAGAGAGCAAACTGTACGTTCTGAACCTTTCTGCCTCCTCCCAACAAATGATTTTATCTATGTTCGTTTGTTACATTCCAGACTTTTCTCGAGCGATTAATTTTTGCTAACACTGTGTAGCTGAAGGGCGCATCTCCTTGATACATGATCGATCTTTTAGGCTTGAAAATCTACAAAGAGCAACTATACGCAACCCCGGTGAGGCTGGTGCTGGAGGCTTTCTCAGAGATTAGTGTGATGGACGCCTTGGGGCTTTGCCTGCGAAATTGGTATTTGTACATCCATGAAGACAGAGTTTGGGGCTTAGCTTGGGAAATTGGTATTTGTACATCCATGAAGGTAGAGTTTGGAGGTGGATAAAATTACCTCACTTATGCGAGTAGCTTGCGAAATTGGTATTTGTACATCCATGAAAGTAGAGTTTGGAGGTGCATAAAATTACCTCACCTTATTCGAGTATAAAGACGGGTAGGTTAACCTTCAATTCCATGGATCTCTATACTTGAATTATATACTATCAGTTATATTTTTCCAATGTAAATCTAAAATATTCGTCCAGTTTCTTTTTTCCCAAGGTTACCTTGTTTAATTTTGTTTGATAAATTTAGAATATTTATTTTGTTTTATATCCTACATACGTAACGAAAATTGGTCATGAAAGAATCATATAGACATCGATTGGAGGTTTGTTTTCGATGGAGATGAAGGGTGCATCCTCTACCTTCATAGACCTCCATTGCCTTTCGTACTTGAGCTAGCTTGGGATAAAGGTTACGGTAGGGACTAGAGACTTCCAAGTGTTGATTAATTTGCTGCCCAAGAAGTCTTGCCCTTTAAGATTCCAACTCACCCCTTCTTTGCAAAATACGGCAGTTGGGTGAAAGATCATGGGAGGTGATGTACAAGCGTACAGACAGGTTAATATCTTATTGCCTGCGGTGATTGGCTTGATAGATGGACATAGCGCAAAGGACCCGTTTTGACCTGTTCCTTACTGCCCAGGGACCTTTGCTCTCTCATATGGCCAGACACAATACGGGGCATCCAACCCCTAGAATATTTGTATTATTCAGGTTGTCTTGTTGTTGGGACTTGGGACCTTGCATCCCTCTCCCATTGCGTCTTCAATAAAGAAGAGCCCAACTCTTGCCTTCTCATCCAAGTTGCCAGTGGAATATAGAATGTAGCAAATTGTTTGGTTTCAAATGGATGAAAGAAAAATAACTCTGGCCACTAATACATTATCACCAAAAAAAAAAAAAAAAAGAGAGAGAATGCAGGCTGTTTCAACCTCAAATATCGAAATGAATGGACAGCACTAATGAAATCTTCTAGTTGTTATGAACGAGACAGCATTACCTTAGTTGTAGTGCAGTCTATTCTAAATCTAATTAGCATTCAACATAGCAATCATCAATGCTCTTCGCACTAACTTCATTGCAATTGGGATTTCCAGTCTGGTGCTGCAAGTTTGTCTAAACTCGGGAAGGGCACTTCTATGTCAGTCTAGCTTTAGGAACTAGCATCTTTCTGAATTCCCTGCTTGCAGTTTTGGATAAATTTACATGTGGCAGTATGTGACTGCAAACATAAAAATCCTTCTCTTATTTACTTGTTCACTCCTAAATACTTCCATAGGCACTGGCATCATCATTCATGCTGGAATGCTGCAACAAGGTACGACAGTAATTATTCAGCCATGCGTATGCGGATTCAAGGACACGAAGCTCGCCGGTGAGAAGATCTAGAGCCATTTGCCTTCGACAAGCATATCTCTTACACACAGAAGAAGCAACAGGCTCCAATGACTGTACAGTACAAGAAAAGGCTTAAAACAAAAGAAAAAGGTTTGTAAAAGGAAAAATGTGTTTTTGGCCAAAAAAAAAAAAAAAAAAAAAAACAAAGAAAGAAACTGGGAGCAAGAGATAACAAGCAAGTCATAACTGAAATTAGAAAAGGGACATCTGTGCAATTGTTCTCAAACTATGCAATATGCAACTAGAGATGACCGTCCACTAACCAACCAAATGATTGCAGTAAGATTCCACTCTTTCTATACATCACTTACCAACCAAATATCTGTCATGTATTTCTTGTATTGACATGTTAGGAAACATTTAATATCTTGGCAAGCACTGGTGTAGTAAGTTTCATCTTTATTGGCCCTTCCTTTTGATGAAGAACCTAGCAATATAAACTTGACCTGTGGGAAAGATTAATAAATTTGCCCTAACTAAAGATAAAGAAAGGGGTGCTTGCCCGTAGGAGGGATAGGTCGTCAAAGACATGAGTCTAGTTCTTACCACTAGGCGGAGACCAGAAGAAAAGGAGCATACTATTAAGAAATAGAAGGTTCATTATACTTATATACATATAACTAGAATTTCCCTTTTTCTCATGGACATGACCCTCTCACAGCTATCGGGATCGATGATTACGGGTGAAATCCCAGTAGATCATTCTTCCCATAAATAGGGAAATAGCCTAAGATCTTGTGTCCCTGATTGGTGGTTCGATGGTTTGATAGGCTTTTCACTCATGTTTAGTGTTGTTGTCGGGGCACCAAAACATCCGTTTTTATCATTTGTCACTGCAGTTGTCACGATTATTCTTTTGAGTGCTGTTTGTGGGCACCTGGCAGTACTGCTTCATCCTTCTTTACATTTGTTTTCCTGGGAGCCTGTTCCATTTTCAGTTTTGTTTGAAGGTAAGCCATTCCAAGGTTTGTGACTCATTAGGCATGGTTTGTTACAAGGGGCGTCCAAGGTGCATGCTTTCCTGGACGATTGGAATCTGTATTCGAGACTTCGATTTCCACCCTGCTCCCCACTAAAGAAGGAATGGAAGCTTGAGCTCAATCCACCAGTGGGAGAAACTATGACTTCAATGCTGACTAGCAGCATGTAGAGTCTACCTTAGCTCCTCAATATCTAGAGCAGGCAAGAAGGATGGACTCATTGTCGTACTGAGCTCTGGAAGAACCACCCACAAAATGAAAAATCCAATACATAGCGAAGGTAATAGAAGATAGACAATCTTGAATCTTCTCTTCTACTATTGATATTTCGAACTTCTCTTTCTTTTTTCAATCTACTTTCGAAAAAAGGAATTCAATCGAAGCTCGTGCATTCCAAATTAATTAAGTGAATTCCATCTCTCTCCCTATTTCGCTATTACTTATATATAGAAATAGAAAGAAGAACCATTGGTGCTGAGCCAACAAAATCTGATGCTTCACTTATTTTAAAATTTCAATACCTACTCTAACTGTTCACAGTGAAATTAAATCTACAGCTCAAATTAATCAATGAGGGGAAGATAAGCGTGTTCACCTTGATAAATACATTATATTCCTCAATAAGTTGACTGATTCTAGACAGCAGAATCTCATGTGCTTGGATCTCTCTACTGCTATTTTTTAAAGGGCGCCGAGCTAAACGACCATCATTTTGTGCAGCTTCCATGGCCAAATCAATTAAATCTGAATAACAATTATAAATCAGGAAATATTTGCAGACTACCATGGCCCTAGTTATACAGGTCCTGAAACATGGATTTCACACAAAGTAAAAGAATATGATTTGAAGCACACCTTGAGGAGAGTTGCAACAAAGAACACGAGCAAATGCACGTAGTGATTGTGGCAGACCCTTTCCTTTGCCTCTAGAGGACCTCACTTCCCTGTGTGATGAAATCAACAAAAACTAAAACAGATATTAAGAATTCTTCATGTCATGTCAACTCGGGCACTGATGCCTGTGCAGATATAAGGTTAGATTAGCTAACATTCACTACCCACAACGATTATAGTCATAAGAAACATTAGCTGGCATTTCTAAAATGCTGAAAGGAGGAACTAAATAACTAAAGCTCAGAAGAAATTGGCTGTGATAATAATATAATGTGTAAAGTGAAGCAAAAAAACTTCAGCATATCCACCAAAAGCATCACTATTACTCCAAATTCAAGATTTGCTTTTATTCTGACTTTGCTCTTATTATTTGTTTTATTTCTATCAAAACAAGTTTGAGATAGCACAAATAATAAACCAACCCACAATACTGACTTGATTATGAAAGAATCCCCAGAATACTTGAAGCCATTGGCATATTTTGTGGTTGGTAAATGATGCCTTTGCAAAATATCCAACTTCATTTCACGTAAAAAATCATGATTGGGTACGTCAATGCGAATCTGGACCTGAGAATACCAACAACATTTGTAAGACATAGAACCACAACTTGGAACATAGGAAAACAAGCAGTAATAAAAATAAAAATAAAATAGTTATGGGCATCAGATAAAAAAACAGTTCAAGCACGAGGGGAAAAAAAAACTAATTCATAAAATCCAAAATAGACAATAAGAATGACAGTGTTTCTGCTCAATAAAATAATTTATGCTTGACAACATTGACAGGCAAGGATAGCATATAAGCAAAACAAATTCAAGAGAAACCTGATCATGGATGTTGTGTGGAACTGTAAATCCAAACTCCAACAGCAAGGTAGCATTTGAAAATTTTCCATATCTGAGCAGCACCTGCATGTGTTTCAGACGATCTAAATTTTCAACTCAAGGATGATATGTAATGAAAAGTACAGGCTTATGGCTAGAAATACATTCATAAGAAGCACATGTGAAACACCAAAATCATATGAGAATCAACACTATGGTACTATGACTATTAAGAATAGCAATACAATACATAAGTCTTGTGACTAAGTATTAACACTATTTTGCAACAACTACAAAAACAGTTTTTTGTGATTAGATTTATTACTAACCATGCATTGCTCTGTTTTCTAATTAGAAAACCTAAAACTACTTTGTGCAGGAAAGAATAAAGAAAAAACTATTCGCTATCTGACCTCTTCATGAGGAGAATAATCACGATCAGCAATGACCTGCATGCATGAATTTAAAGAATTAAATTATATATAAAAACTTGTACACAATACGTAAACAATAAATATAATCTCCAATACGGCATTGAGCATTGAGATCAGTAGAAGCCAAAATAATACACGGTAACGGTCTCTTTGTGACTCAAGCTGTGTAGTGCTCAGATAGTTTTATTTAACCATCATTGCTTGAATAGCAACGGAAGATTCTCTTAAACAATTGAAGACGAAAACAAGATTACCACATTATTTTACCATGAAACTCTCATATCAACAAATGGACATGATATAGAGAAAGAAAAGGAAAGTGTATACCTCTGAGACCTGGTTGTCTTCATCATTTAATACAAATGCTTCAGAAACTCCAACGTGGTTTGAAAAATCTGCAAATGGAATCTATGAAATAACCAAACAATTCAAATAAAACATTGTACAAATAAAGGATATACAACAAGCAAATACATAAAATATGTTTTACAAATAAATTACATCGTTATAAAAGCACTACCAGGGATGCCCCCTTGTGCTTCCCCATGCTCGAGATCTAACTGTCACACGCATAACAAGGTTGTCACATAAATTTGACAGATTATATATATATATAGAATTGCATCTAAACTCTGAGCAGAAAATAGAATTCAGAAGCTTCAGAAGTATTTTCAAATCATAATAGATTAGTGCAGTAGCATAGTTTCATGTAACACTTTCTTTGAAGCCCATCATTTTTGGCTATGAAAAACAGATTCATCAATCTAATAAAATTGAGATGAAGTATTTCTCAGGATAATCCAGAAAGTCACAAAAGTGGCCAAAAATTAAACCTTGTTCTCTTCAAAAAAATAGGCATTCACAAAGGGAAACGAATCATGAGGAGCAATTACTTTTAAAGAAGTTGCTCACCTGCAGCATAAGCATGCACGAAATCCTCAAGTGTGATACCATCTAAAATTTCTGGGAAGCAATCAAGGTCCTGAAAACATAAGAAATTTTATCACAATCACAATACCCAATATAAGCAGAGCTGACAATCACATATGTTTTGAGTGAACAAAAATCAAGGTTAACTTAGCAACTATCAAGCCCTCGTCAGTCACCAGGTTATACTTTACACTGTTTGATGTTTCAAAAAGTTACATATTTGAACATTATTTGGATGATTAAACATGCTGAATAATATGTGATACCGTTGCATATCTCTAACGCACCAAACAGATCAATCTGTCTTAAGCCCAGTTATTTCAAACTAATGAGGGTAGCAATGGATCACACCATGATCCCTCCTCTCTCTCTATCTACATCCCTTTGTGTTTAGATCCCGAGATTGTGTCCTTTTCCTACTTAAATTAGAGATTTTTTGCAAACCACATCTCAAAATTAAGAGGAACACAACCATCCCACTTCAGTCCACAGCATTTCAGGTGAAGAACAAGAAAGACATGACGAATTGGCATTTGTTTATTGCAACATTATATAGACAGATATTTCTTAAAAACTCTTGATCACAAATTCACAACTATTAGGATCGTATGTGCTTATAGATTCTCTAAAGAGAAACAAAATAAACTTACTGACTCAATTTTCAAGAAATCTTTTTCAATTTGAGCTTTTTCATTGATTGTTTCTTGATATACTGAGCTTTGATGAATCATGTCCAACTCCCTTTTGCTCCAGAATATCTGTACAAATTCAAACAACAATAAAGACATAACTCTTGCAATATCCTGTCCTTCAGGAACCTTTTTTTTTTTTTTGGAGGGATGAATCATGTCCTTTAAGAACTAATAATCATAATAATGAAATAATGCAGAACTTGATAGTGCAAAATACCGTGCTATGCATTTCACCAGGCTGAGGTAGGCAGCTGATATAAGGGGACCACTCTGATTCCTGCAGACATTTCCTCAAATTCAAGCATATAAATCAGAAATAGCAATGCCAATCAAAGCACATCAATGCAAGTTCACAAAACTGTTCCTTACAGACTACTTTCTATCAGAAGAATAAAATAGCATAGCTGATTTTACCTGCCCTCTTTTCTGCTCAATCAAAATGACAATAGCAAGCTTTGAAACATTCCCAATTTCATTGTCCAACAAAGATTTAACTTTTGGAAGTAGATTATCCGGTGCTATTTGCTGAGAAATCAATTAAGAAAACATTAGACAACCTGAGAAAAAAAGGTAAGAAATTGTTGACCACAATAGTAGCAGTACTATCTGGCAAAGGAACATACCACGTTGTATGGAACTCTCAGTATGCATTCTCCAGCTTGTATGCTTTTAGAAGCAAACAGTGACCTGCAACCCAAAACAAGCATAATTAATTTTTTTTCTTTTGAAAGAAATTTAGATGGATGGTGAGAGAGAGCATAAATCCTTCCATATGTTAGTGACAGAGAAAGTATTTTCCATCAATAGTTGCAGTTGCACTGCTATACAGCAGTAAAGGCCTTCCAATCCTGAAGCTATTTCCTCATTCATGGTAAGACACAGGAAACCAATTGCTTGCTGGCCATGCTAGCCATGAAAATAATAAGACCTTTCAAATACCATAATTATTCTCCTTGAAGTGAGTGAGCTGTTTGAGGGACAGAAGCAGACACGCATGTAAGAGATGCCTAGCACAAAGCAATGTAATAACGCATTGCTTGGTAGTCAAAATAGGACATGCATTCAATTGAACTCTACTGATGTTCATTTTGCCATAGAGCAAAAGAGTGCAGCATATGCCTTCAGTTCATCAGTTTACTCTTGCCTCATGCAGCCATAAAAGTGGTCAAACGTAA